TAGCTATCAAATATCTCAATATATTTCTCACCAAACGTTTTAACATGTATTAGCAAATATTTATAAGGTCCCACATAAATTTGTTATCATTTTTGTTTTAAAGTTAATAATCTTTTAGGTCCCTGGATGAACACATTACTAGAAAATCAGACTCTCTGTGCCATTAGCAACCAACTACAGGCAGACCAAAAAACAGAGATTTTTCTTTTAGGAAAGAAACCTAAAATTAAAATACGTAGACACATTTTTGAAAAACAGTCGATTTAACCCAATACCTTAACCAGCCATGTTAGAAATATAATTTAATATTTCACTTACTTGAAGATGACTAGCAATTAAAGTCCAATCATCAGTTCCATGTTGTTCAACCAACTTCTTTAATTTATCGTCCTATTAAAATAGTATGAAAATTAGAAAGCTTTTCACCATCATTTTCATCTATCCCTAAATATAGATAACTCTCCAATTCTGTTAACAAATATCTGTTAACCATAGAAGAACTAAAGCCACCCACTATAATACAAATTCCTCCATTTATTACACTGTTTCTGTAAGTCCCAATGTCACCCATTATTCAAGTCTCTGGTTGAAGAAAAAGAATGTACAGTTAATTGATGCAGCCCTTATCTCATATTTTGTTTTTAAATATCTTTCATAACTATAGTAGTATTTTTTTTTCTTGAGACAGAGTCTCGCTCTGTCACCCAGGCTGGAGTGCAGTGGCACGATCTCAGCTCACTGCAACCCTCCACCTCCTGGGTTCAAGCAATCCTCCCACCTCAGCCTCCCAAGTAGCCAGGATCACAGACATGGGCCACCACACCAGGCTAACTTTTGTATATTTAGTAGAGATGGGTTTCATCATGTTGGCTAGACTGGTCTTGAACTCCTGACCTCAGGTCATTCACCCCTCTCAGCCTCCCAAAGTGCTGGGATTACAGGCATGAGCCACCACACCCGGCCATATAACAACAGTAGTATTAATAAATAACATCTAAGAAACTAGAAAACTTTGTCAGATAATTACCTCATCCCTTGTCCATTTTACTCTGTTCCAGAGTTTCTTCAGTCCTTTCTGTTGTGGTACTTCATAATCATGATCAGCATACTGAAGGTCATCATCTTCATCTTCACTAAAAAAAAAAGTTGTGAAATCAAGAATTTTATTTAAATTTGTAAATTCAATCATTGAACCTATCACACAGATGGGCTGGGCGTGGTGGTTCATGCCTGTAATCCCAGCATTTTGGGATTCTGAGGTGGGCAGATCACAAGGTCAGGAGTTTGAGACCAGCCTGTCCAACATGGTGAAACCCCATCTCTACTTTTAAAAAATACAAAAATTCGCTGGGCATGTTGGTGAATGCCTGTAATCCTAGCTGCTCAGGAGACTGAGGCAGCAGAATTGCTTGAACCCGGGAGGTGGAGGTTGCAGTGAGCCAAGATCGCGCCACTGCACTCCAGCCTGGGCAACAGAGCGAGACTCCATCTCAAAACAAAACAAAACAACACAAAACAAACACAAAAAGAAAAGAAGTCACACAGACTAAATGGCATATTCACAATGAGATGATTCAAAGTATAAAAAATTAAGAATCATACAATGGGGTGGGGTGGAGCTATACTTCTTACTGACACCAAACACATGAGGCTGGATATGCCACTACGGAAAAATCATAACCCTGTATGTCATGTTAAGGAATTTAACCTTTATTCTTTGACCTTTATTCTAAAGAGTTAAAGACCTTTAAATAATGCAGCAAAAGACAAATATCTTGTGTTTTAGAAAAATCAATGACAAGAATGTGGCAAAATTGAAAAAGAAAAACCAATTAGTAATCTTCTCAATAACCCAAGCAAGAAATTATTGGGGCCCAACAAATGGTAATGGTAAAATACAAACCACAGCCAGTTAAAAAACACAATAGAAGTGATCCAATTAACAATATCAACAAAAACATCTAAAAATAATTTTAACATACAAGATAAAGGTACAGTAAGTGACAAGACACCATTGTGAGACACAGAAGTCTTGAACAAATGGAAGAACATTCTGAAATTCTTTGTTTTTTCAGACAGGGTCTCGGCTTGTTCTCGCCCAGGCTGGAGTGCAGTGGCACAATCACAGGTCACTGCAGCCTTGAACTCCCAGGCTCAGGCAATCCTCCCACCTCAGTCGCCTGAGTAGGTGGAACTACAGGCACCCACCATCATGCCTAGCTAATTTTTTCTATTTTTTGTAGAGATGGGGTTTTGCCATGTTGCTCCACCCCCAAGGCTGGTCTTGAACTCCTCAACTCAAGTGATCCTCCTGCCTCAGCCTCCCAAATCCCACACCTGGGATTACAGGCAAACACCACCACACCCAGCCTCCTGACCAGATTCTTTGATAAGAAAACAATATTATAGAGATGCCCATTCTCTAATTTAGGGAGATGTCCATTCTCCCTAAATTAATTCATAAATTTAAATTAAATTAATCTATACCAGTAGATTTTGGGAGGGAACTAGACAAGCTGAATCTACAATTCATATGAAAAAAATCAAGAAGAATGGCAGGAAAAGTGTTTAAAAATAATAATTGAGAATTATCACTAGCCAATATCAAAATATACTGTAGAGAAACAATAAATAAAACAGAATGGTACTACCACACAAACAAACACAGATAAATGGAACAGAACAGAACATTCAGAATAGAAATTAGCTGGGTATGGTGGCACATACCTGTAATCCCAGCTACTTGGGAGGCTAAGGCAGGAGAAACTTTTGCACCCGGGAGACAGAGGTTGCAGTGAGCCAAGACTAAACCACTGCACTCCAGCCTGGGCAACAGAGTAAGCCTCTGTTTCAAAATTTAAAAAAGAAAAAAGATGGAGTCCTACTTTACAATAAAATAAATTGGAGTGAAGCAATTAATTACATTTTTTAAAGTAAAACCATAATAGAACTAAAGAAAATAGAAAAGAAGTCTACTTTGTATATCCTTGAGTAGAAGAGAGGTAAACATGACAAATATCCAGAAGTCACAAAATAGATACACCAAGGTAACGATAGTGGGAATGGAAAGAAATGTATGAAACAGAGATATTTAAAAAGCAGAAACAAAAGGATTTTACAACTGATAGATAAGGGACATGGAAGAAGGGGGAATTAAGGATGACTCCAAAGTTTCTGGCTTTGAAAACATAAGTAGAGCTATTTACTATGGAAAACAATAGATGGAGAAACCGAACTTTGGGAAGGAGAAGAAAATGGGGAAAATATGTATAGTTTAGGACTAGCTGTTTTCAAGATATCTCAAAAATACACAGGTGAATATGTCTGGAACAGTACTTCCCAACAGAAATATAATGCAAGCCACATATGTAATTTTCTAGTAGCCACATTTTTTTAAAAAAAGAGAAATAGGTGAAATGTACTTTAATAGTCAATATTCTTTAACTCAATATATCAAATAATCATTTCAACATGTAATCAATATCAAAAAGTATAAACAAAATGTTTTATACATAATTTTTCTTACTAAAGTCTTCAAAATCTGGTGTGTATTTTGTAGTTAGAGTACATTACAATTCAGACTATCCACAGTTCAAGGGCTCAATAGCCACATGTGGCTAGTGGCTATCCTATTGGGCAGAGCAGATCTAGTAAGGCAAATGAGCACATGGACTTGCTCAGATACAAGGTCTAGGGTAGAGATGCAGTTTTGGCAATCACCAGCATACAAAGAACAGCTGAGGCCACGGGATGACCGAAGGAAAATTAATAAAGAGAGGAAGGAGTCAAAGTCAGAACCTGAGTTTTGATGGGGTAAAAAAAGAAAAAGCTATTTTAAAGAATAAAGTCCCATAAAAGAGAGCAAGCCTTAATGATAAACTGAATTAGAAGGCCGGACACGTTGGCTCATGCCTGTAATACCAGCACTTTAGGAGGCCAAGGTGGGTGGAACACCTGAGGTCAGGAATTTAAGACCAGTCTGACCAACATGGTGAAACCCCATCTCTACTAAAAATACAAAAATTAGCTGGGTGTGATGGTGGGTGCCTGTAATCCTAGCTACTTAGGAGGCTGAGGTGGGAGAATCACTTGAACCCAGGAGGCAGAGGTTACAGTGAGCCAATATCACACCATTGCACTCCAGCATGGGCAACAGAGAGAGACTCTGTCTCAATAAATAAATAAATAAATAATAAACAAACAAACTGAATTAGAGGATTCTGAGTAGGCAGTGGACTGAATAAAGTCATGGCATCTGAAAGTAACACAGTCTAACATTTATTTAAAACTTTCTAAGTACCAGACATGGTAGTAGTCTATGAAATTTTTCTCTTAAAACCTCACAACAACTGGAAGAGGGGAATGTTACCATTATTCCCATTTCACAGAGTAGAAAACTTTGACTTAGAAATGTAGGCCAGGCGCGGTGGCTCAAGCCTGTAATCCCAGCACTTTGGGAGGCCAAGGCGGGTGGATCACGAGGTCAAGAGATCGAGACCATCCTGGTCAACATGGTGAAACCCCGTCTCTACTAAAAATACAAAAAACATTAGCTGGGCATGGTGGTGCGTGCCTGTAATCCCAGCTACTCAGGAGGCTGAGGCAGGAGAATTGCCTGAACCCAGGAGGCAGAGGTTGCGGTGAGCCGAGATCGCGCCATTGCACTCCAGTCTGGGTAACATGAGTGAAACTCCGTCTCAAAAAAAAAAAAAAAAAAAAGAAATGTAACTTCTTGCCACACAGTCACACGAAATATGGCATGGCTGACCTCTAAAGTCCACTACTTAACCACTATACTACAACACAGTGGAAAAATAGGAGGAAAGTGCTAGAAAGTTGGAAAATACCAAAGACAAACTTCAAGTTCATTTTGGAATCAGAACAAGGTTCTAGTTCTAACTTAATTACTCACTCTGTAACCTTGAACACATTAGCCTCTCAGGGGTTTAGTTTACTTGTTTGTAAAATGATAGTAATAACACCTACCTTATAGTGCTGCTTTAAGGATAAATTAAATGAGAAAACACATGTAACACCTCATACAGCACATGACACAGAAAGGTGCCTCTATATTAGTATTACGTGCATAGGTTGATCGCCTAATAGTATTCAAAATTATTTTTGCCTTCAACTCTTTCTCAAAAATTCATTCTGATTTCAAACAGCAAAAGTTTGAAGATTTGTTTAAACTTACTATAATATAGCTAAGCACATACAAGTAGTTTCTAATATCTATGTAAGTTATGTAATTTCAATCTTACAAAATTGAAAAACGAAGGCTCAGATTTAATATACACTGTCAACAGGTCTTTGCAGGAACCCCTAACTTCCATTGACTTGTCAATTCCATTGGAACAAAATTCTTCATATTTGACCAGGCAAAACACCAAGATCCTCCCATTCCCCTATGATCTGCTTCTATAGTTCAATGCACTTCAATAGTCCAATGTTCTCTCTCCCTGAAGCCATTTTATATTTGTAACAATAATCCACCAGTCCTCCTTCCTACATGGCTGTTTTTTGTTTTGTTTTGTTTTGTTTTTTGTTTTGTTTTGTTTTGTTTTTTGAGAGTCTTGCTCTGTCGCCCAGGCTGGAGTGCAGTGGCACAGTCTTGGCTCACTGCAAACTCTGCCTCCTCAGTTCAAGCAATTCTCCTGCCTTAGCCTCCTGAGTAGAAGGAATTACAGGTAACTGCCATCATGCCCGGCTAATTTTTCTTTTTTAGTAGAGAGGGGGTTTCACCATGTTGGCCAGGCTGGTCTCAAACTCCTGACCTCAGGTGATTTGCCCACCTTGTCCTGCCAAAGTGCTGGAATTACAGGTGTGAGCTGCTGTGTCCAGCCCATGTATGGCTGTTTTATTAAACTATGTTATATATATATAAATACACACACACACACACACACACACACACACACACACACACCCCTTACAGAGGCTTGATTAAAGAACACACCTGATACATTAATCCAAGAAGGAGATGTGAAGAAAATAAAAAGAAAATATCTGACACGTGCAGCCATTTTCAGCTATCAGAAATATCACCTGATTGGCCAATATTAAATTGCTAAATTCAACATGCTTCAGGATTCAATGACTTCATAAACTTCTAAAAAGCTACTGAATCAGATAA